GATGGGATGGGGGGATGGGGAGATGGGGGGTGGGAGGGATACTGGGACTCTTGGTGGTGGAAAATGGACACTGGTGGAGGGATGGGTATTTGATCATTGTATAATTGAAATCCAAGCACAACAATTTGTAAGTCTACAACTATACCTCATGGTGTTTCACTAATAAAAATTTTTAATAAATAAATAAATTTGAACCTTGCTGTTAGAAACCCTCTCCAACACCTGGATCCCGAGATAAATCTAGGTCCTACGGTGTCTCTGGGTCCTCAAACCTTCAGGGCTTCACACTCAAGGAGTGAAAGTGCACATTCTTCTCCCCAGGGCTCCGCCTCCTCTTCCCCATCCAGCTCCAATCCCGCGCTTCCTTTTGCTCATTCTGCCTCAGCCCCTGACTGTCTGAAACTCCCTTCTGTGGGTCCTTGCCTGAAAGTCACCTTGTCACTTTGGCCTTTCCCCATCTGCTCCCCTGCTGCTCATTTTGCAGTGTCCCCCTGTCCTATGCTCTGTTTGTTTATTTTTCATCTCTGGTATGGTTATCAGACGAGGCATCCTATCTGTTTTGTCTCTTCATTAGTTATTTTAATCCATCTTTCAACTCCATGCTCATGCGCAGAAATTTTTGTTTAGTTTGCTGCTGTGACTACTTTTTTTGAGCAATGTGTGTTGCCAATACACTGTCACTGTCCTCCCGTTGTTCATCGATTTTCTCGAGCGGGCCCAGTAACATTGTGAGACTTGTTACTGTGTTTGGCATACCTATGTCACGGGGAGCTTGTCAGGCTTTGCTGTGCGGGCGAGATAGAGTAGCTTGCTGGGCTCTCCAAGAGGGGCAGAGGAATCGAACTTGGGTCGGCCATGTTGGCTGCATGCAAGGCAAACGCCCTACCCGCTATGCTATTGCTCCAAGTGTGGGCCCGCTCGAGCAAATTGATGAACAATGGGAGGACAGTTTGCTGCTGTATTCCTAACATCTAGATTGGAGACTTCAGCAGTAGGTGCTCAGGACATTTTTTTTAAGATGGGTTTCTTTCTTTTCTTTTTTTTTTGGTCACACCTGGCGATGCTCAGTGGTTACTCCTGGCTTTGCACTTAGGAATTACTCCTGGTGGTGCTCGGGGGACCATATGGGATACTGGGAATCAAACCCGATTGACTGCATGCAAGGCAAACACCCTATCCAGTGTACTATTGCTCCAGCCCCTCAGGACACATTTTATGAATCACTGAGTGGGAAAATAAATGGTTCAAGAGGATGCCAGAGACAGCTCTTGAGGTTAACAGTAGAGCTCTCAGAACCTGGAGGCTTTTGCTCCTGAGCTTTGATGCTGTGTCTTGCTCCAAACTGGGCACTCTGCCCTTAGTTCTGCAGAGGTAGCTTCTGCCCTGTGAGTTTCTACTTGCTCCTCTGCCTTCTTCCTTCCAACTTTTCCATAGGAAAGTTGCCTCTGCAGCATTTCCCCAGACAAATTCTCCCATTCCCTGTACCAAAAATATATGTGCTAAAGTTTGGGACTCTGTCTAGCCATTCCCAGATTTGTCCTTGTCCTTGTCTGTCTGTGCCATGGTTTTCTAAATTCCCTTATGGAGGCGAGTCATGAAGGCCAGAGGCCAGACTAGCTTTCCTTCTGGTCTTCCTCAGAGTGTCAGGTAGGATTCTGGGTCCTGTAGCCTGTCTCGGAGTCCACTTGGTTCACGTCCAGAAGTAATGCAATGGGATAAAAACCCCAAAGCAACAGGAACCATGATATTGTGACTAAGTGCCAGGGAGATTGATTACCTAGAGCTGAAGACCAGCATGTCTTTGCCAAACAGCTAACACAGGCAAGGCACCTCCATGACAAGGCAGAAGGCTTTGAAAGCAATACAAGACCAGTCCCCACTTCTGCTTTTGTTGGGGGAGACTGATCATCATCATGGAAGATACCCAGCATGGTGCTAAGTAATATCCACGGTCAGAAAGTCATTGTTGCATTTAAGAAATAAAATTAAACATGTGATCCAAGTAGTGAAAATAAGTACTTCAATTAGCTCCAAGAAGACCTGAGTTCTTGTGCCAGGATGGACTCGTAGATAGTGGAGTCTGGATTAAATCCTGACTCAGAGGCTGGAGCGATAGTGAGTAGAGCGTTTGCCTTGCACGCAGCCGATGCGGGTTCGTTTCCCAGCATCCCATATGGTCCCCTGAGCACTGCCAGGAGTAATTCCTGAGTGCAGAGTCAGGAAGAACCCCTGTGCATTGCCGGGTGTGACCCAAAAATAAAAAAATTTCTGACTCATTTCTACAGAGCATCTACCAAATATATATCTTGTATAGATTTTTTCTTGAAAGAATTAAAAGGATTAGTACTACTACATATGTACATTGGAGAAAGGCATGGAGAGGGCTCAAATGGATTCACTGTTATTGATGAGAATCCACCATGACCATCTCTGTCCTGCCCTCTGCCCTTTAGACCCTAAACTACAACATGGCTGCTTCTTAGACCTCCTTAGGTGGGTCACAGACTGCACAGGAATAAGCCCCAAAGGCTAAAACTCCTTGATTGTCCCCATTATTCAGGAGAACAGAATGTAGGTCTACAACCTCAAGCACATGCCTCCATATTTTTTTTTAACCCGCCATGGTCGAAGAGATAGCACAGATTCACGGTATGGCCCTCGAGCCTGAGCACAACCCATCTTGAGGTCCTCCGGGACAAAATAAAAAGGAGAAGCAGCCAACCCAGATGGAGAGCACCAGAGAAGTCAAGGAAGTAAATAACAGTAGCAGAGGCCTGGAGAGATGGGAGATGGGAACCTTCAGAAGAGAGGGCAGGAGACAGAACTCAACTAGTAAGTGCTTCTCTGAATGCAACTCAATGACGAAATATGCTGAGTGCAGAGTCTTTGTTGGTTACTCTCCCAGACGATGCAGCTGGTTTCTGGAGCACATTCTGACCCATGAACAAGTGTGTTCTTCCTCCTCCAACCTCACAGTTGGCTTCTTGGAAGGGAATAGAAGCTCATATCCCCCATTCCTTCCACCCCACCCCCATTATCCTCAAGAAAAACATGTTTTGCCATTATTGTTTTATTTCCAGTCGTCTCCCTCTCCCACCCCTATATGCAACAAATACTCTCTCTATCTCTTCTCTCTCCCTCCCCCCTCTCTCTCATGCCTTAACCTCCCCTGCCTCATCAATACATCCATTCCTGGTCTCCGCTGCAAAAGTGATTTTGGGGGGAAAGAATCTCACACCACGTTTTCCAGGCCCTTAATGTCTGGCAGAGACAATCCCAGAGGAACAGGAAGTGAAAATGTCTCCATTGTTGGCGAGTGGTGATGTCATGTCCCGACTCTCCAGCTTCATGGCCAGGTCTACTTCCCTAGTCCTGAAAAGACTGAGGTTCCTGCTCCCACCCCCTGCCTGCATCTGAAGAGGGGCCTCCAGTGTTTTTCCCATCTAACTGACACACATGTATGCAACACACACACACACACACACACACAGAGAGAGAGAGAGAGAGAGAGAGAGAGAGAGAGAGAGAGAGAACACTTTTCCAGCATTCCTTACCTCATCTTCTTTTTCATACCATGGCCCCACAGGGCAAATATTACTATTTGTAAGGCAATCATGGGGGAGGGGTGCTACCACCAGCAGCCCCCAGACTGCAGCACCCCCAGGCATGCCCTGAAGTTTGAAGACACATCTGCAACCCATTCCCCTCTTGCAGCCCACCAGAAGGTCAATATGTCATTCTCGCTGCTTGAGAAGTGCTGTCCGAGCCAGCTTGCGTGCCCCTCTGCTTCCTTCCACTGTGTGTGTGTGTGTCTGTGTGTGTTGGGGAGGGGGGCAAAGCAGAATGCTGTGTTTCCAGAGGAGTTCTTTCTGTCTGCTCCCTTTTCTCCCTGTGTTTTCCCTTTATCCCTCTACAAGCCAGTGCCTCCTCCCTTGCCCCCCCCCCCCCAAGGAAACATTCCTCCCCCTGGGAAAAAAAAACATTGTCAGAAAGAAGACTTCCTTTGGCAGAAGGCAGTTAGAACTTTACTCTGAGAAGATTTTGCTCCTCACAACTCCCTGGCCTGCCTTGGTCCCTCTGAGGGGCTCACTGAGCCCCCCTTTTTTATTGAATCACCATGAGGTACAGTTACAAAGCTTTCATATTTGAGTTTCAGTCATACAATGATTATCAAGGTGCTTTTTTTTTTTGCACCCACATCTTTCCTTGGTGGAAATGGAATAGGAGAGGATGCTGGGGTGGGGGGGGGAGTGGAGGAGAAGGGTTCTAATTAAGGACCTGGTTATTCTTATGTTTTAGAGAGAGACAAAATAGGGGGTGGGGTGGGCAGGGAGAGGGCTTTCAGGCCAAGTGGTTGATAAACTTTCCTTTTGAGTCCAGCGGCTAGAAAACGTGTATGTAGGAAGAAACCTGAGTCAGCAGCAGCCTTGCCTACTAGAGGAGCTTATAGTAGGGTCTGGTAGGCCCTGAAGATTGGGGGTGGAAACACCTCACTTCCTGGTTTCTCTCCGTGTTTTCTGCCTCTGCGCAACTCTCTTGAGCCCACAGCATCCAACTCCTCTTGTTTCAGCCCGACACTCTCTCAGCACTAACTCTATTTCCTTTCGTTGGAGAACCACTTTCAGTCCTTCTTGCTTCACCAACTGTTCCTGCTCTTCCATGTTCTCAGTCCTGCTTGCCACGATGCGTGAGGTTTTCTGACTGTGGCTTTGCAGTTTCTCTTACGTCTATGATGGGTTGCCCATCATGTGCATTGTCTCGTGTCTCCATCATTCGTGTTTGTGTGCGCATTCTAGACCATTTGGATTCTGGGAAACACATGGAGGACATTTTTCCTTAGAAAACGCTCCACGTTGTGAATTGGCAGAGGCATTTAGTGGGTCTGTTTTCCCTTCTGACCCCCAAAGTAGAGTCCAGGTTCATAACCCCCCTGTAGAGCAGATGTTGGTGGAGCGAATGCTGACTGCTAACGGGAGACTCTCCTTGCTTCTCTTGAACAGATTGCCCTCACCTTCTCCATTGTCTTTGGGGTCATTGTATACCGGATCACCACGAAAGCAGCGCTGTCTCTCAACAAGGCTACTCGCTCCAATGTCAGGGTGACAGTGACGGCAACGGCAGTCATCATCAACTTGGTGGTCATCCTCATCCTGGATGAGATCTACGGCATGGTGGCCAAGTGGCTCACTAAAATCGGTACTGTGTCCGTAGATCCCCTCTGGGTCCTGGGCTCCCAGTACCCTTGGCTGTGATTCATTCTGTATTAGCATAAGATTTTGGGTGGTCATGACCTGCAATGAACAAAGGGACAGGAACAAATGCTTGGTGCAGATCATGGTACTCAGAGAATGAAGAAAGTTGGGGGTTGTGCACTTGAGGAACCACCAGCCTCACTCCCTTCCTTTAAGACTCTCACTCAGGGGTTGTCTTTTTTGGCACAATTGATTCCTTCTCTGCCCCCCTTATGAACTAGCCTGGTGTATCTCCATCATTTTTTCCAACTGTGACTCCCTTCTGACCTTATTTGCTTCCTCTGGTCCTCTGTCCTACCAATCGACCCTCTTGTCTCAGGTCGTTGTATCCCATAGATGGGATTTTCACCTGTGGCCCACTTGATGGATCCTGGAGGCCCCGAGACAGCCCTATTGTCCCCAGTGGAGAAACACTGGTCTGGGAATGAGCTTTTCCTCTCCTGCTTTTCCCAGCAGCATTCGCAATGCACAGAAAGCCTCCTGACACTTGAGCCCAAGAGGGTCTTATCTACCCCCATATTGTCAGAGGCCCCAGAAAATCCACACATTCCCCTGCATTGAGCAGACTTCAAAGAGGCTGGGCAGACTTCCCAAGCTCGGTGCAGTGAGAAAAAAATGCAGTGGGCTGGGGATTCGGACGTGTCATTTGAGCTACAGCCTGCTGGGGCCTGAGCACTGCCTGCAGGCCTCCGTGGCAGATTAGACAGGGGTGGGCTGTGAGTCAGACCCTTCCCTCCTCATCTCTCCCCTGGGTGGCCACCATGCACTGGGGCCTCTGTCTCTGGGAGTCATTCTGTCAGGCCTCAGAGCCAGAGGAGGCATCATATGATGTCTTTCATTCACTGGCCAGTAAAAAACAAGCTCTTGCTCGGACAAGTCCCATGTCCAGAGGGATGCCCTGAAGCACCGGAAACCCCTGAAAGTCTCCTCTGAATCTACTGATGTAGCACCTTTTGGTGTAGCCTCTGCTGACACTGGGAGTTTCCCTTCCTTTGTTTCTTCTGGAGAGGGCAGGGAGTTGGGACCACACCTGGCAGTGCTCGGGGGTTTCTCCTGGCTCTGTGCTAAGGGATCACTCTAGTGGTGCTCAGGGGACCATATGCAGGGCCAGGATTGAAGGCATGATAAGATGTCTTCCATCTTCTTACCCACTGTATGCTAGAGTCTTGCCTGATAATCCCCCACACCCAAAGGGATTCCCTGTAGCATCAGAGATCCCTGGAAAGCTCCTCTAATTCTTCTCACATGGTCCCTCTTCTTATGCTGAGCATTTCCCTTGGTTTCTTTCATTTTGGGGGGGATGGTGATGGCTGGGTCATACTTAGAGGTGCTCAGGAACTACTCCTGGCTCTGTGCTCAGGGATCACTTCTGGTAGTACTCCGATAACCATATGTAGTGCTGAGCATCAAACTTGAGTCAAAGGACTTAACTGGAATTGCCTGCAAGCAAGATGAGTGTTTTAACCCTTGTGCTATCTCTTTGTCTTTTCTTCAGTTTCCTTGTGGGTAGACACAGTGACCTTTCATCTGGTTCCACTTTCTTTAGACCTGTTCCCACTTGTGTGTCCATTTTTGGAAAAAAAAATAAGTGAACAATTTTTATGCAGGGTACTTTGTGGTGACAGGATTCTTTGTCAGTGTTTAGGAGACACATCTGACTCTCCAAGGGGTTCTAGGAAAAGTTTTGTGGTGTGGGATGGTCTAAGAATCTAGTGACATATATCAGAAATAAAGACTAGCCAGGTAGGCGCAGTACCGGGGAAGGAGTGAGCAGGAAGATAAACCAGTTGCTACCAGAAGTGAAGGATTGGGTTGTGTGACCCTGAAGGTGGGGACAAGATTTCCAATGGTCAGGAAAAGCACAACGAGAAGGGGGTATGGATTTGGTAGCTCTAACTTCCAGGGAAGCAGAGCTCAGAAAATGGAAGGCAGAAAGCATGGACAGGGCACCAATAAGATCTGGAAATGTTATTACAGAGCTCCTGGCATGTCCAGGGCACAACTGGGAGTAACATGGGCTCATGGGTATGCCTAAATTTCAGTGGAAGGTCTCAACCACCCAGCAGGGCATAGATTCTGCTGCTTTTCCTAAATAATGGGCAAGTGTTGACCGGGTTTCAAGAGTGTATCCAGGGGCTAGAATAATAGTACAGTGAGTTGGGCGTTTGCCTGGCACGCGGATGACTCAGGTTCAATTTCCAGCATCCCATATGGTTCCCTGAGCAACTCCAGGAGTAATTCCTGAGTGCAGAGCCAGGAGTAAACCCTGGGTGTAACCCCAAAAAGCAAAAAAAAAAAGAATGTATCTAACTAAAAAGACCCTGACTGCATGATTTGCTTATTCAACCATATGGAAACTCAAGCAAAGGCAGATAGAGACCAACGCTGAAATATTTCCAGAAAGTGGAAGGGGCTAGGCTGTAAAAGATAACTTGAATGTGAAATGTGGGTATTTGGATGGGCCTTCCTGAGACTACGCAACTGTGGACACGAGAACCCTGCAGTACCTTTTAGGATACTGGAGTGGGCCCGGGGATCAGAGAAAACATCTACTTCTTTCAGGCCCTTTTTCTCTCCCAAAGGAAGGGCAGAGGGACCTGGCAGTCCAGGAAAATACCAGAGGCTCCTTCCGGGCTGACTGTGAAATAAGTTCTCTCCCACTCTCTCGCCCAAGAGGAGAAGTGAGGCAAGGGAGACAAGACAGGGTGCTGCAGCTAATCACCTGTCATCTGCTTGGATGAACTCTCAGGAGATGGAGGAGATGTCCCCCAGCCCGTCAATGGCTCCCACCCCAACAGCTCACGTGATGTGATGGGAGCTGATTGTTAGCACAAGTGCTTGGGCAGGGAGATTGGGTGACTCCAAGAAGAGGGGTAGGAAGAGCTCCTGTAAAGGTGTCCAGGGAACATGTGAGCAGAGGAACGCAGACTAGGAAACCAGTGAGGTTGTGGGCATATACTGACTGTCTATTGTGCTAACCTCATTCTATTTCCCTCACAAAACTCCCAATGGTGGGAAAGACAGACAGGTGGAGGCACAGCGAACCACCAAAACCTGGTCAGCACATGCTTTGTGGCTACCTTTCATGTAACCACTGGTTGAGTGTATTTCTGTCTGCACTAGCAGGACCCATGCTGGATGCCACTATCACTTTTCTGAGAGCACAATGCCCTTCGCCCAAGCTAAGGCTCGTCTGGGCTCTTAAACCAGAGGTCATCACTCCATTTGAAAAAAAAATAGATAAAGAGCTCTCAAAAAGAGATGAAATTCTAGCAAAAACATTTTGTTCTTAAAGTCACGACACTTAAAAGCATTTTTTAAATTACAAAAATAACTCTATTTCCTCTTCACTATGGGGTCATCAGGGGAAGTGTTCTGTTTTCAGTTTCATGAGGTTCAACCCAATTCTTCTTCTTGCAATACAGAGAGCTTTTCTGCTGTATGGCTGTAAGATTTTCTTTCTGTCTTAAAGTGGTAAGTGCGTGTTTTTCACTTAGAACCCCTCCAGAACCTCCATGAGGGAATGTTGTTCCTTCTCTCTTAGACTGGATATTCCTAGAGGGCTTAGAAAGGTGCCCTTGGAGAGTGGATAGACTTTCTCTCTCGAAGTCTGATAGAAAGAACTTTTGAGTTCAAAACTTGGCTCCTTCTCCCTCCACTCACAGCTGTGTGTCATTGAGCAAACAGAAAACTTCTTTGGAAGACCTCTTGATACAGTCTTCATCTTCTTCTTCCCTCCTTACCTGGGCTCATGCCCCTTACCCTGGTCTTCCTTCAGCCTCTTTCCATATACCTCTGTCCTGGAATCGTAGCCCCATCTGCCTTTCTCAAGGGGTGGGTTGGAGGGCATCCCTCCCACTCATTCCCCACACAAAACTTCCTTTGGAGGTCAGATATAAGTTAGCATTGGACACTCTCAACCCTGCTCTTCCCCTCCGTCCTAGCTGGCCCACCCAATGCACCACCACCCCCAGTTTCCCTGTGTGATCCTCCCTCCTTCCCTTCATGCTGCAATGACTTGCAGCAACTCACCCTTCAAAGTAGTCTCCCTAAACCAGGAGCATATGGATATTCCAGAATATTCCAAGGGGATCACGGGTTACCATCATGTATATGATGGACCATAGGACAAAGAAGAAGGCCAACAGGTAGGACATGGAGATCTTAGAAAGGAAATAAGACTGGAATGGCGGGGGTCATGTTTGGGAAAAGGCTAAGAAATACTTAGCCTTTCTTTCAAGGACCTTTACAATTGGAGAGAAGTAAGCTACTTGCCTTACACATGGCAACTCTAGTTTAATCAATGCATATGGTCTCCCAAGACCCTTTAAGAGTGACCCCTGAGTACAGATCCAAGAGTAAGCCCTTATCACCATTGAGTGTGTCCCCAAACTCTTCCCCTTCCCCTTCCGTGAAAGAGGACCTCTCCTGCCTTACCTCTATTTCCAAGAATTCTTTCCTGCACCCTTGGCCTTTGATGGGTTTCCTCCCACAGATCATTTGCTCTGTTCCTTGGACATTGATTGAATGCTTCCTTAATGCTAGGCACATGCCAGAGGCAGAGCTATAAATAAGAAAGACAAGGTCCCCCCTGGCTGTCACTGTACTTACTGTAATAAGTGAAAGATGGAGAGTAAACATCAACAGCTCATAGAGGGGGAGGAAACGAGGAAACAGACCAGAGTGTGTGTGTGTGTGTGTGTGTGTGTGTGTGTGTGTGAGAGAGAGAGAGAGAGAGAGAGAGAGTGAGAGAGAGATTCAAGGGTGTCGACTTTGAATCAGGTGGTCAGAAGAGACTACTGGGAAAGTTATAACATTGTGACTAAGCCTGAATGACAGAATATGAATCTCGGAAGAGATTCCAGGAGGAGGGGGCAGAAAAAAACTATGGATGTGGAGGATCAGCAGATGTGTACCTATCCATGCATAGGATATTTATTATGC